TATATATATATATATATCTTGAGATTGGAATTCAATTACAGACAGAGACACAGAGTCTTTATAAAAACTTTATTGAGGGGAATGGGTAGAAAATGGAAGTGATGCCCCTGGAGTTGAATAAATAAAGAGCATGAATAATACATATGCCCACCCCAATGCTTGCAGACACCCCCGGGGAGAGGGGCTGGCTGCCGGCTTACTGGGCTGTCAGCTGGATGGCAAAAACCTCGCCATCTGCAGGTGACTCGGCAGTGCCAGGGGTCTCGGCTCCGCCTTCGGCGCCCGGTGTCCCGCCAGCGCCATTGAGACACACCGCCTCGCCGGAGCTCTCGGCCTCCTGGACGTTGTACTCGCCCTTCTTGCAGGCCGTGGATTGTACGTAGAAGGCCAGGCCAGCCCCCGCGGCCAGCAGCGCCGCGCCCCCTGCAGCACCGCCCACAGCGACCCACAGCCACGGACCTGTGGGCGCACATCCTCGCCAGGGTGGGCAAACCCCTAGTCTCCCCAAGCCCTCTATGCACCTGCTACTGCAGCCTGTTGGAAGAAGAGGTCCCAGGAAGGCCTCTCCAGCATCGGGGGACCCCAAAATACCAATGTATACCCCTCTTAGGCCATGTGATTATAAGCTCTTAGACTCCCTATACTCTCCAAAAATGACCCAACTTCTCCCATCCCCCTAAGGGGATAGACAGGGGGGACCAGCTCAGCCTTCCTCTAGCTCTGACACACTCCAGCCCCATGACAGACAAGAATTGGGCCCACCATAAACTACTCCGAGGACATCTCTGACCCCAGTTCCTCCGCGGTGACACGTGGAGAGTGAACTGGGTCCTAGTACCCACTCTAATAAGACCCCCCACACACACACACACCGGCCTGTCCTAGGGGGTCTTCTCCCTTTTGTGTGTTTGAAAAGGTCTTATGTGGCATAGGCTGGTCTATAGTCCCTGTATAGCTGAGGATGACCTGGATCATTCTTTCTTTACCTCCCATATATCCCTCCAGCATGGAACACAGGAGCAGCATTGTTCTGGCTCTTGTCAATTCTCTCTGCCTCCACTTCCCTCCCCTTGGCCTCTACATTGGCCCCCTTTGGTCTTGCATACTGAGAGGCAGAGTCGGGGCCAGTCATCCCAAGGCCTGCATCACTCGTGTTGCATGTCCCTCGCCCCACCTCCACCCCAGGAGCCCACCACTCACCGGCCACGCGCACCGTGATGCGTCGCGCGTGGCGCCCATGCGCATTGGTGGCTGCGCACTCATACTCGCCGCCGTGGCTGCCCATGGCGCCTGACACGCTCAGAGTGCTGTTGTTGCTGGAGAGGCCAAGGTTGAGAGCTCCAGGGGGCGCGCGCCAGCTGATCTGTGCTGGAGGCCAGGCCTCTGCACGGCAGGTCAGGGTGAAGTTCCCGCCTGGCCGCACACTTGGAGGCGAGGCCGCCAGCTCCGCCACAACAGGCCGGTCTGCAGGGGCACGAAGAGGCTGCTCAGCACTGGGCGTTAATCAAGCATCCTCGGGATAGGGATTCCTCAAGCAGCCTGATAGCACCCCTTCTGGGATGGGCGGGCAAAACCACTTCCTCCTATGAGAGTCCGACTCCCACCACCCACCTGCTGTGGAAACAAAGGTGCTTGTTTCTTACTGAGGGGTACTGAAAGAAGTCCCTCTGAATTCCCATGGGTTTGAGATTTTTCCCCATGGCTGAGATGGAGAGGAAAGAGAGCGAGAGCGAGCGAGGGCCTAAGTAATTCTGGGGGCCTGTAGTCCCTTTGTAGGCTAGGCTGTCGCTCTCATGGACAGAAATCAGGCTGTCCTGGAACAGAGATCAGCCTGCCTCTGCCTCCCGAGTGATAGAATGAAAGAAAACTGGAACTAGAACGCCCAGCTTTGTGCGTGCTAACCGAGCACTCCAGCCACTGGACTACACCCCAGCCCTCGAGGAGCTTTTCTAGCGGTGAGTTGCCTCCATCCAGCGTTATCCTCACTCACATTCCACACCAACAGTGACGGTCCGTGAATCCGTGCCATGCGCGTTGGTGGCCACACAACGGTAGGTCCCCGCATCCTCCCGGGACACTTGCAGCCTCTCCAGCCTGGCGGCACCCTCCCTGGAACAGCGAACCCGTGGAGAGGGGCGGCCCCTGGCACTGCAGACCAGCGCCGTAGCCTCAGCTCCTTCTAGCCAAGTCTGATGACTTGGGCAGCTGAATTCATCCATCTGTGGCGGCGCTGCAGAGCAGCCACCAGAAGGAGGGGTGTCAGGGAAGACAGGGACCCTGGGATACCCTGCATTTCCCGCCCACCTCCCCTTTCCCCTCCCCGCTCACACTCCGCGCTCACGACGACAGTTTTGACCGTGGAACCGTGCCGGTTGGTGGCATTGCAGAGGTAGATACCCGGTGAAAGATTACTAGAGGTCACAGAGTTTCTAGGACCAGGGTTTGAGGATACCAGGGGCAATACCGCCCCCTTGCTGGCACCCTCGGAGCCCAGGCACTCCACGCGTGGTTCTGGCTTCCCGTCAACTTCACAGGAAAACAGCCTTCCAGATCCTTCTACCCACGTCCAGTTGCTCGGGCAGCTCAGCTCCTCAAAACTGGGACCATCTAGGAAGCAGGGAAATAGGAGTTCACACTGAGGACAGAGGATACATGTGTGGGCTTCTCTCCAGCCACCCTTACTCACATTCCACGGTGACAGCCACATTTTTGGCTGCTGATCCTCTAGCGTTGATGGCTTCGCATCGGTAAATGCCAGCGTGCTCCCGAGTCACGCGCAGCAACCCTTCCATGACTCTGTCCGTGTCAGAGCGCACACAACTCACATTAGGCGGTGGGACCCCGTGTGCCACACAGCTAAGCGATGCCTCTGTTCCCTCCAGCCAAGTAATGTGTTCTGGGCAGCCTATACTGTCCAGCGCTGGGGCATCTGGAACGGATTTTGTTTTTTAAGGCAGGATGTCCAATAGCTCAGGCTGGCCTCGAACTCCTTATGTAGCTGAGAACTATATTGAACTCCTGATCCTCCTGCCTCCTACTTCTAAGTTCGGGACTTTAACTGTGCCTGGTTTATGCCATGCAGGGAGTGGAACCCAGGGCTTCATACATGCTAGGAAAATAATCTACTTATTGAACCCAGGCCCAAATTTGGATCTGGAGCCCCATCTGATTCCCTAATGACCTTTTTTTTCTACCTTCTGCTTCCAGAAAGGGTTTGGCAAGCTATATCCTGCATGGGAGATCTCTCTCTCCCCTCTCCCTCATCTCTCCCCCTCCCTCTCAGGGTTTCTGTGTATAGCCCTAGCAGTCCTGGAATTCACTTTGTAGACCAGGCTGGCCTAGAACTCACAGAGACCGGTCTGCCTCTGCCTCCAGAGTGCTGGGATTAAAGGTGTCAGCCAGTTCACATATCCTCCCCGCCCCGCCTAGAGTGTCTCCTTAGTTCCTGCCTGAACTGATTGTTTCTTCTTTTACTCTGTGTGGTATTTGTGTGGGAAAGCATGACCCAGCCCATGTGTGGAGGTTGGAGTCAGTTCTCTCCTCCCCCCCTTTACATGGGTTCTGAAGATACTCAGTTGATCAGGCCCCTTTGCTGAGGTCTCAGGGTGCTTTTGACAGATTCCTACAAAGAGTTCATGGGACCTTCCCAGGTATACTGTTTTGACTGCTGTTCTTCCTGGACTGTACCCAGGCACCACCACCAAGTTTATGAACACCCCACCACTTCCCTTCAGGGTTTTTCTAATTCTGCTGGGGCGGGCCTCTTTGCTTCTTGTGTAGGCCAGCCCCCCGAGCTCCAAGAACCAAAAGATGCCCATGTCCACCTCTCCTTACTCACACTCCACATTCAGGGTCACGTCCTTGACAGCCTGGCCCTGGCCATTGACTGCTGTGCAACGGTAAGTGCCTGCGAGGGAGCGAGTCACTGGACCCAGCAGGCCGAGCGCCAGCACAGCGCCCCCGCTATCAGGCCTAGCACAGTGCACTGAGGGCTCCGGGTTTCCACGGGCCTCGCAGCGGAGGCTCTGCTCTGGACCCTCAGGCCATGTCCAGCTTCTGGGACAATCTGAGTCATCCAGCCGGGGTGAATCTGCAGGCATGAGGCAGAGGGAACACAGTTAGGTTAAAGATAGGGCCATAGATATAGTCCTTGGAGGTCACAAAGATAGGGTGAACACCCACTCACACAGGACACGAAGCTCAGCGCTCTGGTTCTTTCTTAGGGTCTCCCCGTCCACTTCGAGGGCAGCTTCGCAGAAGAAGCCCCTCTTGTCGTCCTTCTCCGTGACATTTAACTGGAGCTCAGCGGGTTGCCCCGGGACCGCAGCTGAAATTCCCTCTAAGGTAACAAGGGCTCGAGCCCCAGCCCAGCAGCTTACGGTTACCACCTTCCCTTCAGGGGCTACTGGCTCACTTAAAGTCAGAAGAGGAGTAGGGAAACCTGGAGGGGTGTGTGTGTAAAGCATTGGGTGGGGTTCACTGGCACTCCCCCCTCAGGTAACTCAGTCCCCCCCACACACACACCTATTTCTTTCCATTCATTTCCAGCTTCCTTCCACTACTGCCTGGAAACTCTCCCGCCCTGCCTGTTCGGGTGTGGAGGCCCGCCCACTTTAGAGGCTCTGCCTCGGTGAGACTCTAGCCCCAGACACAGCCGTTGAAGCCCCCTCCTCGATTCCCCTTACTGTAAACAGTCAGATTTTCCTGGGTCTCCCTGCTTTCGCCCCCGAGGGTCACGCTGCATAACAGCTGTCTGGTGCCTTCCTGTTCTGCGCTTGGCGTAGCTGTGGCAGTGGCCAAGAGGCTGTCGCCATCGAAGGTCACGTCAGGCTGCAGCCTCTGATCTCCCAGCGAGAGGTAAACCCTGGCTTCCGGGGCAGGAAACAGTCCATCCAAACTGCAGCTCACCGGCCTTTCTGAGCCCACTTCTAAGAATCGGGGAGTAACCAGGCTCGGGGGAATTGGAGGCAAGGCTGGGGGAGAAAAAGAACCAGATCTTGAGTTTACATATTAAGCATTCAGTGTAGACCAAACAATTTACATGCATTGTTTAGTTTCATCATAAGAATACAAAAGGGCCAGCGATACGGCTCAGCGAATACAGGTGCTTGCCGCCAAGCCTGATTGGGTCCGAAGGCGGAAGAAGAGAACCAACTCCCACTAAAGTTGTCCTTTATCTTCCACATATGCATCGTGGCATGTGCATACACGCACGTTCGCGCGCTCTCTCTCCCTCCCTCCCTCCTTCCCCCTCTCCCTCTTCCCCTCTCTCAATAAATAAATACAAAAATAAGCAAACAAAAACCCCATGTAAACACTTTAAACTAGTACACGTGAAGGGCTAGGTGCTAAACTTTAGGCGATCTCACTACGCAGCCCTGCGTAGTCCAGTCTGGACTTACATTCACAGAGATCTGCCTTACCTCTACTTCTGTCTCCCAAGTGCTGGGACTAAAGGCGTGCGCCACTACACCTGGTTGCCACTAAACTTAACACCTGTCAGTTAGGGTTCACACTCACCAAAGGTGCGGAGCTGTCTGAGGGTGGAGCTGTTTGCAAAGAGTCCCAGGCCTTGTGGCCGCAGGTCCAGCTCCGCGAGGCACGAGAAATTGACTCCGTGATCTTCCCTGCGCGCCAGGACCGTGGCGGTGAGCACTGCGCCGCGCGCTCGGGGTGGCTCTCCCGCGAAACTGCGGCGGATCAACTCTTGGGCGCCCCGCAGCAGAGTCAACGTGAGGCTCGCTCGGGGTCCTGCTCCCGGAACCCTGCAGCTCAAGGTGAAGTTCTCGCCCACGGGCTGCCAAGGAGGCAGCGGCACTAGCTCTACCCGATCCGGCCGCTCTGCAAGGGACGAAACTTCGGCTCTAGTAAGCTGCAGTGCGCCCCCGGTTGCTCCTGGGAAGGAGGGCATGAGGGCCGGTGGGCGGAGCTTGAAGGGGAGGTCCAGGGACCTAAGGGGCGTGAGCACCCAGAACTCACGGAAAGTTCGAATGAGCCCACGCGCTTGTAGTGTGCGGCGCGCGCAGCGGAAGAAGCAGACGGGTTGCGTCTCTGGCTCTCGGATGTCCACCAGCTGCCGAGCCAGCCAGCGCAGACCCCTCTGGGTCCCGTTCCTGCGCAGCGAAGTCTCCAAGCCACCGCGCTCCGGCCTCGGACAGTTAGTGCTGCAGTTGAGCCACAGCGAGCCCCCGCGCTCCACGAGCGCCACGCGGGGCTGAAGGTCCGCCCAGAAAGGCTCTAGCGCGACCGCTGCCCGGGAAAACGCGGGCTCAGCCTGGGGACCCCCCCTCTCTGAAATCTTAGCGCCCCTATATCCCATATCAGGGGTCTCTGCAAGGACGAGGAGAGGCCCGCATCCCACTCAAGCTTCGAGGCTGGCACACTCTCAGAGGGGTTGTCTCTGGAAGCCTCGCTTTCTAAGGCAGAGATAGGGAAACTCGGTGCAGGGAGAACGGGGTCTCCGATGCACACGTCAATAGTGGGGAGGAGGAGACTCCAGAGGGGGGATGGGGAGCCAAGTGAATCTCAAGACTGTGGCAGATCGTCAGGATGGGGGTGGGGAGACACATTAAGTCTGGGGGAGAAAACGAAGTAGAGAGGAGACTGAGCCAAAGGCTTAAAGGAGACTGTCCCTAAACTTGAATAACTTGAACAGAAAGCCTCAAGGCTGGACTCCGGAAAGGAACCGCGGGAAAAGCCCCAGAAAGCCGGTTGCTAGGGCTACAGGTGGAGGGGGAACAGAGCCTGAGTCATAACAGTTGTGGAGATGGGGGGATCTTTGAGGATCACGAACAGGGATGATGCCAGTCTGTGAACCATAGGGCACGACAGAACAGGAAAAAAATAGGAAAGCCACAGTGTCTCCTGAGCCGGGTTGGGTGCCAAACCCCGAATCCAGAAAAGGTGCTGGGTTCAGATCTGGAAGATCGAGGTTTGCTGGGGTGGAGGACGGATGGGGAGAAGCCCCGGGCTCCAGGTGGCGGCAGAAGCGTGGGAAGCAAGAAGAGGGCGGAGCTTGGAGGGGACACCCGGGCTGCCCTCTCGGGTCCTTCAAAACCGCCCCCGCCTTGTCCACCTGGCTCCACGGGCGGACTCTTCTTACCTGAGATGCCGAGGATCCCCAGGCCCAGGACAGCCCAGAGGCCGAGGAGCGCTCGGCGCAGCCCTGGCGAAGGCCCCGGCATCGCCGCCGCTGCCAGGGAGGGGAGAACGCAGGAGGCGAGGGGAGCGCGAGTGATGGAGAACCGGGCTGGGAGGACGGCGCAGCGCAGCGGGTGGAGTGTGGGGGTGGTAGAGTTGCGCCCAGGGATTGGTTTAAACGTTGGTAACTTGGTTTCCAAGGAGGAGGCGGTGGCAGAGGCGGTGATGGGGGGCGAACTGGCGGGAGGCAAGCACGCACTGGGCTGCTCCCGGCCTTAACGCAGACGAGCTGACCAGGCAAGAGCAGTCCCCCGTGGGGGGACGTGGAGGTCGGCCTAATGGTCTAAAGCCTTCCGGGGGCGACCGTGGTCTCCCGCGTCATCTGTGGCGAAGGATGGGAGGGATGCTGTGAAGCCCTGCCCAAACTCCACCATCCTAGGTATAGATTCTGGGATAACGCGCTAGGGCTCCAAGCCACGCCCATCTTCGGCCTCTCCCAGCAGCGCCCCTTGGAGCAAGTGGGGTTGATTCTTCTTGGGGAGTCGTAGTATGCCGAAAGGGTAGTTTTAATTGGAGGGTGTGGGGATTCCTTCCTTAACTGATGCTTCGCTTTGACCTCCAGCAGATTGAGGATGGGAGCCACGCCCCTAAGACCTCCTCCGCGGAGGAGGGGATCAAGTGCCTGCGAGTCGAGGGCACGTGTGCGTGTGCGCAGCGTTCGCGGGCGTCTTCTAAATTAGAGTCGGCTCCGGCACCTGATCTGTATTTACCCAGGGTGCAGCGGGAATGTGTCTACAATGCTGTTGTGAACCGAGTCTCAGATCATCCTCGCCATGGGCACTGCAGCCTCTGCTGGATAACCAGAGCGAGATTCTGCCATCCAAGCTGGACCTGAGATCAACTGGTGACACTTGTGACCTCGCACATGTCCGCAATCTTTGACACCCCTCCCCACATGCATACCTGGCTCGGTGACTACAAACACGTTGCCAGGATGGACGTCTACATGGACGTCGCCCCATGTAGCCCGAGCAATCATCCTTAACTTGTTGCTATGCTGGATTTCCTATCTGGGCATCCGCTTCCTCTACTCCGCGCAGGAGGCCCCGCCCAATCCTTTTTTCCCCCTCCCTCTTCATTAATGGTAACCCCGGGGTATCGGGTCTAGCTCCACCCACTGGTCTCCGTTAGTAACGCGCAAGATCTGTAGTGGAAAAGGAGGTAGGCGAAGGAAAACTTAGCTTCCAATCAGCGCTGTGGTGTGAATCCACGGAGCCAATCAGGAAAAGCCATACCAAGAGCCAGCCCTCCCCCCCAGCCCAGGGCCTGGAGAGGAGGCCAGTTTAGCCCTTCTGACCCGCGGGGATAAATCCAGGGAAAACACTATGTGGAGAGGAACTCCGGTTCTGGGACTCCAGGCCGGTCTGGTAGGAGAAACGTCAGGTGCCTTGAGACACACAAGTGTTGTTTGGAGTGCCGGTTTTTGGAACCAAGGCCAGGCAAACGGACTATCCCCGAGCTACAAATCTTCAGACCCTAGACAAGGAATTTGGAGAAAGCGGAGTCCCCTAAAAGTAAGCCACTTCCTCCAAGAAACGTAGGACAGAGACTGAGGAAGAAGGCTTTATTGATCCAACAAGAGTATCTGAATTAGTTGCTCCGGGCTTCTTTTTTCTCCCTCTTGTCAGGCATCAACACCCGTTTATAACTGAGTCTGCACGGCCTGGTACTTGCGCACGTAGACAACCCCCACAGCCAGGAGGATCCCAACCATGGCTGCGATGGAGGCAGAAGCCAAGGCTTTGGAGGCTGGGCTCAAAGCTGGGAGCGGAAGTGAAAATCAGGAATGAGGAGGTCTGAGGACCTCCAAGAGTAGTGCCCACACCTGTTCTGTGGGCCCTCTTGGAATGGCAGCATCCCCTCTCCCGCACCAATTCCCCGAGGTTGCAGGGTGCCTCACCGAGGACCGTCAACATAACAGGTGCAGAACTGCTGCGCACTACTAGCCCGTCGAGATTGAGACGAGCATGACAGGTGATTGGTTGCCAGAGGTCGTTGGGTCCTGCCCGCATCACGTAGGTCAAAGTGACATTAGCCAGATCTGAACCAGTGAAGCGCTCCAGACTTTCAAAATAAATCACCCGGCCACCTCTCCTTAGGCTCACCACCAAGAACCCCACGGGGAACACGTGTGTCACATAGCAGCGTAGAGTGTACTTGTGGCCCACTAGGACAGGAGGCTCCATGATCACGCTTCTCGGCCGTTCTAAGGCAAGGAGGGTAAGACCTGCAGGCACCTCCTACAACAACTGCAAACTACCCCCTTCCTCCACCCTTTTCCCTTACCCCACCCCGGCCTGAGCCCCCATTTCCCTCACTGTAAGCGGTGATCCTGGCGGTGGCTTCGCGCGTTTCTCCTGCGCAAGTGACGACGCAGCGCACCTTGGAATTCCAGGCCCTCACATCCAGTAGCTGGTAAGATACCCAACCCGAGCCATGGAGTGTCTTTCCCTGCCTCAGCTGAGTGCGCAGGCTGGAACGCACCGGCAGGGGGCAGCTGTGGCTGCAGTTAAGCCACACGGAGCCCCCGGGAGGCACAGCCTCCAGCTCTGGGCTTAAACGCACTGAGAAAGGCGTTGAGGTCCCGGAAGGCATGGGAGGGCTTTGCATCCACTCATGCTGGGGGCTCCCACTCCTCGGATAGGCGGCTACCAGCAAAAGCGACGGGAACAGGACAGACTCCATGGCACAAAGCCCGCGCTGAGGTGCGGAGGCCAGGGAGCTTCAGCTGGCCCCGGAGATAAGGCTCCCTGGCCACGCCCCAGAGTGGGCCCAGAAGCCCCGTTGAAGACACCGCCTCCCCTGGACTCCAGAATGACACATCAGACCCCACAGCCAACCAGAAGTCACTGAACTTTTCTGAACGGGGCTTTCGTTTTCACTTAAGCCCCAAAAGGTCATTAAATAAATTTCAGTGGGTGTAGTAGTGGCTCAGGCCTTTAATCCAAGCATTCAGGAGACAGGCAGGCAGATCTCTGCGAGTTAGAGGCCAGTCCATTCCACACAGCATGTTCCAGGACAGCCAGGGTTACAAAGAGACTTTGTCTTAAAAAAAACAAAGACCGCCGGGCATTGGTGGCGCATGCCTTTAATCCCAGCACTCGGGAAGCAGAGGCTGGTGGATCTCTGTGAGTTCGAGGCCAGCCTGGTCTCCAGAGTGAGTGCCAGGATAGGCTCCAAAGCTAGACAGAGAAACCCTGTCTCGAAAACCAAGCCTCTTTCCAGTTTTGTCACTTGTCTGCAATGCTAAGTATTATCAGCAGTTTAACGGTCTCCTCATTGGTGCAATTTACACAGACTGCCAGGTGTTGATTTTAGGTCTGTTACACTTTTAGAAACAGTAATGGGATCTCTGTGAGTTCGAAGCCAGCCTGGTCTACAAAAGCTAGTTCCAGGACAGCCTCTAAAGCCACAGAAAAACCCTGGCTCAAAAAACAAAAAAAAAAAAAAAAAAAAAAAAAAAAACAAGAATTAGTTTGCAGACTCAGGGTTAGGATAACGGCAGCCCTTCAAGGAAGCAGGGGAGTCAGGAATAGGGCTCACTGATGTGATGCCTATCCTCAAACTCACAGGAGGCTGAGAACATAACACTTTATTGACTCAAATGAAAGTCTTCTGAGCTGGGAGTGTTGTACCCCCCACCCCCCAGCTTGCAGGACCCTCCTAAGTAGTTGCAGCATCTTCTTGCAGGCTTTGTTTGAGGTGGAACCAGGCAGGGATTGACCACGATTTCATGAGCATGAGACTCCCCTGTTTAGCTGCCAAGGGTGGGCATCCATATTTGGGTATGGTGGTTGACACGGGGAGCAAAGGTAGGAATGTATGTAGGTGGGGAAGTGGTTACTCCTGATGGTGCTGGAGTCAGGACTCCAAGAGAGGCCTACGAGCAGGGAGCCACTGTTAGATCACTTAGTATTCTTGTGATGGCTCTTTTGGGAAAAGCATCCTGACCAACAGAGGCACCCCTAGCCCTATGTGAACCTCTCTCCGGGCTCTGTTGTATATACAGTCCCTGCAACACTATCCTGACAAGAACCTGCTTGCTGCTCTAGTATCAAGGTACTCAATAAATAGCAGGTAAAACTTTTTTTCTCTTTTTGGAGCTGAGGACCAACCCCAGGGCCTTGCTAAGGGCTCTACCACTGAGCTACATCCCCAACCTCCAGGTAAAACTTTAATAAATACATCATCATGAAGAGTTGGGGACAATGTCCCAGCGTTCCTGAGTCAGAGGAAGTATACTCTTGTGTTCCAACTTTTGCTTGTATCTATTGGATATCACTCCTCCTTAGGCAGAGGCTCCAGCATGGGCAATAGGTAATGAGGTCAGCATTTCCTGACTGGAGGCCCACAGGCTGTGGGTGTGTCCAGTTCACAGAAACACACCCTTGATCTTGTCAGGTCCTCTCCTCACAGTCCTGAGGCCACAAGTGTGAGGCCAAGGAGGTCTGATTGGGTGCATCCCCAGGCCACATCTTGTCTTGTCACAGCCTGAGGTGGTGAGGGTAAACACTGTTTGTCTACCTTTCTGTTCAAAAGCAGCACTAGCTGCTGCCCGCAGGGGACGCCCAGGGAGGTGTTGGTGTTCTTGTGGCTCAGTGAGGCGGGACCTTGAGTTTCATGGCCTCTTCCTGGGCCCTCTGTAGCTTGTATATCCTGATCTTTCTCTGGCGGTTATAAATGTAAATGGTCAGGACCCCCACAAAGACCACAGTAGCCAGTATTACCACAATGATGATGATGGGCCATATCGGAGATTTTGCTGGTGGGGTAGAGACAGAAGGGGATGGTAAGAATGAGGACCTGGCACCCTGCCCACCAGTCACCCTGCCCTATACCCTGGGGCACTCACGAAGCACTTTCAGGAACACTTCCCTGGTGATATTTCCATGGGAGCTCACGGCATGGCACACGTAGGTACCGTTCATGGCCCATGTGACAGTCTTCACTTCCCCGATGGGCAGCAGGGCTCCATCTGTTTTCCGGCTGCAGGTTAGCTTGGGGGGTGGGTTCCCAAAAGCCTGGCAACTCAGATTCTGCTGAGACCCCTCGGGCCAGGTCCAGTTCCCCGGGCAGTCGTTCTCATCCAGCCGGGGCCCATCTGGAGAAATGATAGTGTGAGGACACAGATCAGGGAGGGTTCAGAGGGCACCTGGGTCTTTAGGGGACCACGATCACCACCCCGCAGCCCCACTCACACAGCACGTGGAGTTTCAGGGTCTGATTTTTTAACAGCTCCTGCCCAGCCACCCTCAGGGCCGCAGAGCAAGTGAAGATTCGCTCGTGATCCTCAGAGCTGGCATTCAGCGTGAACTGGACCTGCCCGGGCGGAGCACCACTCAGCCGCACCTGGGCCCCTCCTTGAGCTTCACACTTCACAGTCACCTGGCTCCCTTCTGAGACCTCTTGCTGGCTCAGGGTCAGGACCGGAGCTGAAAAATCTGTGGGCGGTACACACCGTAAGCCCCTCCCAGTGCAAGCCCCGCCCTTGATGGCTCAGCTTTAAATGTGGGTGGGCCTGATTCCAAGGTTCCCTCCAGTGTCAGCCCCAACCTCCAGCATTGGCCATCCCTGGAGTGGGCTCCTCCTTTAGGAAAGCCTAGCGTATTTTTGTTGTTTTTTTTTTGAGACAGGGTTTCACTGTGTAGCTCTGGCTGGCCTCGAACTCATAAGAATCCCAGCGGCCTCTTCCACCCCTGCGCTGGGATTAAAAGCATTTGTCACTACTCCCTGCCGCACTTCTTCCTCGTGAAAGTGCCTTCACTGGCATTAGTCGTGCCCCTGGTGCCAGTCCTGACTCCTGCATGGGCTACCCCACAGTAGGCCACGGCCCCCTGAAGCCCACCCCTGTTCCCCTATACTGGGTCCCTCCCTGCACTGGGCCCTACCCTTTTTTTTTTTTAAGATTTTATTTATTTATTATGTATACAACATTCTGCTTCCATGTATATCTGCACACCAGAAGAGGGCACCAGATCTCATAAGGGATGGTTGTGAGCCACCATGTGGTTGCTGGGAATTGAACTCAGGACCACTGGAAGAGCACTCAGTGCTCTTAACCTCTGAGCCATCTCTCCAGCCCCGGCCCTACCCTTTTAATACCCTTCCTTGGTATCAATCAAGTCTTCATCGATCTCTGAACCAGGCCCCGCCCCTTCTTACTGTAGATGCTCAAAGTCCTCTCTGCCTTCAGGATCTGGTCTGCCAGCTCCAAGACACAGCGCAGCTGCTGAGTTCCCTCCATCTCCGCAGTCACCAAGGCGGTGGCTGACACCAAGTCTCTGTGGTTTGTGCTCTTGGAGGTCAGTGTGTGGCCTCCCAGCTCCAGAGTTATCCGGGCTTCAGCGGCAGGAAACAGGCCTCCGAGGGAGCACATCACTTTCTGCACCGTGCCCACCTCCAGGAGGTCTGGGGTGTCAAGCTTCGGCTCGGTCACAGGAAGGTCTTAAGAGAGAAGGCAGGCATGAGTAAGAGCAATGGCCACCCACAAACCCCTTTTTTTCTTTCTATTCATTTAATGTATTTTCTGTGTATACGTGTACAAGACTCACTTGTGAAGGTCAAAGGACAACTTTCAGGAGTCAGTTTACTCCTTTGGAAGTTGGAAATTGAACTCACATCATCTAGCTTGGATGCAAGCCCTTTACCCAACGAGCCATCTCACCGGTCCCAAAACTTCCACTACCAAGATGACCATTTTCTCAGCACCTCGCCCCCATTACAGGGGTCAGCTTCGTCCCAAAATCCCACCCTCACCTGCATACATTCCCAAGGTATGTAGGACTACCTTGGTTCCTAGTGCCTCACCAAAAGTCCAGAGCTGCCTAATCACAGAGACATTCGGGAACAGTGCTAGCCCTTGTGGCCTGAGGTCCAGTTCTGTGCGACATGAGAAATTGGCTCCGTGGTCATCTCTGCTTGCCAGCACCGTGACTGTGACCTCCTTGGGGTTCCTGGAGTCCACACCCACTGGCTCCTGGTGCAGCACCTCCCCACCTCGGAGCAGCTTGACGGAGAGTTGGCTCCGTGGTGTCCCACCATCCACCAGGCAGCGCAGGGTGAGGTTCTTGCCCACAGGTTGCCAGGTGGGCAGACGGTCCAGCTCCACTCGCTCCGGGAATGCTGCAGGAAGACAGGGGGTTGGGGATCCTGTAAATAGGACCCCTGCAGACAGACCACACCTCTCTGATACCCTCAGTCTCACCAAAACACACCCCACCACCTAAGCAGCCAGGAATGCAGAAGCTTTGGGGAATGCTAGGGAGGAGGCCAGGAGTGTTTGCACAGGGACCACAACCATTCCCAGAGCAATATATGAGAGATGGAAATAAATTCCAAATTCTATCAGCAGAACACTGGGCAAATAAGTAGAATTCTAAGCTCCTGGGTGTGTTAAAGGTTGATCTGACCCCTCAGGAAAGAGGGGGTGGTAGCCCAGTCTTAGAGGCCTTGTCTACCAGGAGAAAGTCCCTGGATTCCATTCCCCAGTCCCACAAATAAAATATGATTAATTTAAATGAAAATGGGTCAGTGATACGGCCCAGTGGGTAAAAGTGTTTGCCACATAAGCTTGAATCCTTGAGTCCAATCCCTGGATCCCATGTAAAGTTGAATAAAAAGAATCAACTCCACAGAGGACAAAGCATCTACTTTGTGGCTCACAATCCCATGGAATCTGGCGCCCTCTTCTGACCTTCTCAGGCACCGGGTAGACACACAGATAAAATAATGAATCTTTTTGTAAAAGTTAACATCTGACATCCACACACATACTGTGCCACCCCATTCACATGCAAAATAAATAAAAGTTAAAAAAAATACAACTTGAGACTGGAGAGATGGCTCTGCAGTTAAAAGAGCACTAGCTGTTCTTCCAGAGGACCTGGGTTCAATTCCCAGCACCCACTCACAGCTGTCTGTAACTTCAGTTTCAGGGTACCCCACACCCTTACAAGGACATAAATGCAGACAAGCACCAATGCTCATAAAAAATAAAAGAAAGGAAAAAATACAACTTGTCTAATTTGAGGTCCTTTCAAACCTAAGTCCCCAAACAGCTGCAGAGCTGCCTCCCTGTCTTAAAACACAGGCCCATGGGGGAGGGCATGGTTCTTCATCGTCCTTCTTGACTCTGAGCTGCAGTCTCTCACCAAGTCCTGGTTGCTCCATTCTTCAAATATTTGTCTGCCCTTCCCATCTTGGATGCTGCAATCACAAACAGCAAGTGCAGACGGGCTATGGCTGGGTGCCAATTGCTGTCCAGCGTCTGGTAATCCAGCTTTCTGTTACCCAGATCTGGGGACTATTCCATACCCTTCATGGCTCCTTGACTCCAAAGGGAGAAAATGTTAGCACCTGAGTCACCATGTGCAGCCTTCTGTCTTCCAGTAGGAAATTCCAGTCTTGCTCTGGTCTGTCCCTTCTGCCTGGAGCACCCCCCCCAGTTGGGGTTTTTTGTTTTGTTTTGCCTTTTGGTTTTTCGAGACAGGGTTCCTCTGTGGCTTTGGAGGCTGTCCTGGAACTAGCTCTTGTAGACCAGGCTGGTCTCAAACTCACAAAGATCCAACGCCTCTGCCTCCCACCTGCTGGGATTAAAGGTGTGTGCCACCACTGCCTGGCACCCCAGTAGGATTTTTGGTTGTTGTTTTTGTGCCCTCCCTACCCCTGCTGACCTGGAAATCACTATGTAGAACAGGCTGGCCTTGAACTCTGCCTCCCAAGCACTGGGATTAAAGACTTGCAACCACCACACCTGGCTCAGGTTCATTGTGTTCATAGGGTAGAAATTAAGGCACAGCTGAACAGCCAAAGTGTCAGATGCAGAAATGCAGCAAAGACAGAGTTCCAGCCATAGCCTGGGCTCCCAAGATCAGGTACCCTGGAAAAGGTCTTCAGAGGCACTTCCTAAGGCCACCAGGAATGCCTGGGGACTTCCCTCCCTCCAGGGCAGCAGTGGCACATAAGCCCACATCCTCCAAACCACATAAGGCTTTTATCCTGACACCAGTAACATTGGCTGCCATTAGGCTTCCCTGTATCAGAACAATCTGAGGAGAGCCGACACAGTGAACAAATAAACCAAGATGCCAAGTGCCCAATGGCTACCCAGTTCCTCGGTGCCAATTCCAAAGCTAAAGCCAGCTGGGTAGAGCCTCTGCCTGGAATTCCCCAGTTAGGGGGTAGAGGCATAGTTCCAGGGAAGAACCCCTGCCTAGAAAACCCAGAGAAGCCGGGAGGTGGGTGGGTTGGTGGTTAGTGCCAGCCCAGCAGGTGAAGCCCTGGGTTCCATGTGCAAATGTAGCCTCCCTCATTCTACCCACACTGCTCCTGAATACAGGACACTGTCACAGCAATTCTCCTCAGCACCCTTTTCCTTCTGAGGTATAACATTCCTCAGTGCTTCTGCTTCTGCTTGCTTTTATACAGTCGAATACCATTCCACGGTATGTCCAAACCAAACTTTATCTTGCCATCTCTCTGGTCCACTATCTTTGAGTGGTTTGTAAATGTTTGACCTTTAAATACAGCTGCACTGCAGATTGGGGGTAGACCTCAGTGGCAAAATGCATACCTGACCAAGTGCCAAGCCCTGATGACTCTATCCTCAACCCAAAGGGACAGAACAACCCTAGAGCCTGACCCATTCCCTGTGGGAAAGGTCCATGCATCAAGGATTTCCAAGACTGTGGAGGTCACAGGACACATATATATCGTTTGTAAAGAACTGATGTGCAGGGCAGTGGTGGCACACACCTTTCATCCCAGCACTCGGGAGGCAGACACAGCCTGGTCTACAAGAGTGAGCTTCCAAAGCCACAGAGAAACCCTGTCTCGAAAAACCAAATAAATAAATAAATAAATAAATAAATAAATAAATAAATAAAATAAAAAGAAAGAAAAATAAAAAAGAACTGATGTTCAACCCAGGCTTGGAAGCACACACCTATGGTCTTGGTGCTTGGAAGGCAGATACATGAAGAGCAAGATGCTGGATGCTTGCAGAAATGGGCTTAGTGGTTAAGAGCACTGACTGCTCTTCCAGAGGATCCAGGTTCAATTCCCAGCACCCACATAGCAGCTCACAACTGTCTGTAACCCCAGTTCTAGCCGAGCGGTGGTGGTGCATGCCTTTCTTCCCAGCACTCGGGAGGCAGTGGCAGATGGATCTCTGTGAGTTTGAGACCAGCCTGGTCTACAAGAGCAAGTTCCAGGAAAGACTCCATCCAAAGCTACACAGAGAAACCCTGTCTCAACAAAACAAACAAACAAACAAAAAAACAGTTCTAGGAGATCCAATATCCTCACACACACATGCAGATAAAACACCAATGCACATAAGATAAAAATAAATAAATAAATTTTAAAAAGACTAAAAAAATAAGTACAAGATGTCAAAGCCAGTTTTTTGTTTTGTTTTGTTTTACGAGACAGGGTTTCCCTGTGTAGCTTTGGAGCCTGTCCTGGAACTATCTCTTGTAGACCAGGTTGGCCTTGAACTCAGAAAGATCCACCTGCCTCTACCGCCCAAGTGCTGGGATTAAAGATGTGTGCCACCACTGCTCGGTGTCAAAGCCAGTTAACCTTAAAAAAAATAAAATAAACATAAAGAAACTGTCTCAAAAAGCAAAATAAATAAATAAATATGGGGGTTGAAGAGACAGCTGCTTACTGTAGAGGACTGCGGTTTGGTTCCCAGCACCTGCGAGATGTCTCACAACCACCTGTAACTCCAGTTCCTGAGGTTTTAATTCATTTTTCTGTCCTCCACATGTCGGTACATTCATACATGCAGCCCTAAATGTTCATACACACAAATTAAAAAAAAATCTAAAAATAAATTAACAGCAGGGCAGGCAAGAGGGTTCAGAGAATGAAGGCACTGCCACCAACTGTGATAACCTGAGTTCCAGTTCTCTGGGAGCTACCTGGTGTAAGGAGAGAAACGATCCCTGCAAGTTGTCCTCTGACCTTGGCACCTGTGCATACACACACAGTCTCACTGTGTAGCCTGGATGGTCTGGAACTCACTATGTAGACTAGGCTGGACTTCAACTCACAAAGATCCTCCTGCCTCTGCCTTTCAGGAGCTAGGATTACAGGCATGTGCCACCTTGCCCAGCAGAATTTTAAAAAATAAACTAAAACTTACAAAGTGCACTGGACAGTGGTGGCACAGGCCTTTAATCCCAGCATTCAGGAGGCAGAGGCAGGCTGATCTCTGTGAGTTCAAGGCCAGCCTGGTCTACAGAGTGAGTTCCAGGACAGGCTCCAGAGCTACACAGAGAAACCCTGTCTTAGGAAATAAATAAATGAATAAATAAAAGGATCAGATCTAGGGCCTCTTGTTTAAAAATGTGGCAAAGGGTGGGCTACAATTCAGGGGCAGAGTCCTTGCCTTGAATCTACTAAGTCCTGTGTTCAATCCCCAACACTGTGCAAAATAGCTAGGGGTATAAACCTATAATCCCAGCCCCCAGCAAGTGGATCAGTTCAAAGCCATTCTCAGTTATGTGTGACCCTGTCTTAAAACAAATAAGCAAACAAACAACAACAAAAACAAAAGACTGTGGCTGGAGAGAAGGCTCAGCAGTTAAGAACACTGACTGCTCTTCCAGAGGACCTGTCCTATTCCCAGCACCACATGGTAGCTCACAACTGTCTGTAACTCAAGTTCCTGGGCACTGACACCCTAACACAGACATACATAAAGGCAAAACACCAATTTGTATAAAATAACAAATACATTTCTTTTGTTTTTTGAGACAGGGTTTCTCTGTGTAGCCCTGGCTATTCTGGAACTTACGTTGTAGACCGGGCTGGCCTTGATTTCACAGAGATCTGCCTGCATCTGCCTCCTGGGTGCTGGAATTAAAAGCCTTTATACCAACCACCACTGCCTGGCTTAAATACATTATTTTTAAACCCAAAACATTAGAAATAAGCAATAATAAATAGAGTACAGTTAAAAGGGTAAACAAAACAGAACAATCCAGGCATCAGATGGTGGCATTCTGGAATGTTCTAAATTCCTGTGGTACATCCTCCTGACAAAAGTTTAAAGAGATCTCTAAGTGACAGTGGGACTTTCCAAGGCTGGCTCCTGGTCCCAGCTGCCATATCCCCTTGGGTCTCCCTATACCCCACCCTTGGCCCTGTCACTTACAGTACAAGACAATGGTGGCAGAGGCTGAGGACTGGATAGGGCCACAGTTCTCAAAGCACAGTGGCTTGCTGTCGTCTCCAATGTCACTCAGTTCAAACAGCTTCCAATTGTGTCCATGATCCAGCTCTACTTTGGGCCACTGAGTCTCCAAGCCCAGGCTGAGGTTCTCGCTGCAGGAGGAAGAGCAGTTCACCTGCATGGATGCACCCCGAGGCAGGAAGGCTTCTTTGGGGTGGATGGATACTTGAGCACTACCAGGCCCTGGAACAGAAAGGAGAGATAAGAGGCCGGTTCAGCCATGTGACTTCAGAGCTAGGTGCTGGGCACGCAGCCTTGAGCTAGGCAGGATGTTGCTCTCGATGCAGGAGGCAGCCATGCTTGAGTACACAAGAGGGGTTGAGGGGGTGCTGGGCATAGTGGACAGAGCACCTGCCTAGCATGCCTGAAGCCCAAGTTTCATCCTCAGCACCCCATAAAATGAGTATAGCGGCATACATCTATCATTCCAACACTCAGGAGGTAGAGGCAGGAGGATCAGGAGTTGAACATTATCCTGGACTAGATATAGAGTTTGAGAGTATTGCCCTCCCCAAACACCAAGTACTGTGTTTTTCTTTCTTTTAAAAAAATATGTATTGCCCAGTGTTGGTGGTGCACGCCTTTAATCCCAGCACTCGGGAGGCAGAGGCAGGGGGGTCTCTTTTGGTTCGAGGCCAGCCTGGTCTACACAGCAAGTTCCAGGACAGCCTCTAAAGCCACAGAGAAACCCTGTCTGGAAAAACAAAACAAGACAAAAATATTATTGCTGGAAGGTGGTGGTGTATGCCTTTAATCCCAGGACTTGAAAGGCAGAGGCAGGCAGATCTCTGTGAGTTCAAGGCCATCCTGGTCTACAAATGGAGTTCCAGGACAGCCAGAACTGTTACACTGAGAAACCCTGTCTTGAAAAACCAATAAATAAACACATATTTTAGTGTGTGTGTGAGTGTGTGGGGTGTGTGTGTATGTGTGTGTGAGAGAGAGACATGCATGCAGGTGCCAGAGAGAATTGCATGATGCATGCAGGAGAGAGAGAGAGAGAGAGAGAGAGAGAGAGAGAGAGAGAGAGAGAGAGAGAGACAGGCATGCAGGTGCCAGAAGAGATCAGAAGGCTATCTTAACCTCGGGAACTGGAGTTATAGGCGTTGTGAGCTACCATGTGGTCCTGGGATCAGAACCCTGGTACTGCTTAACTGTTGAGCCACTCTCCAGCCAGACACACTACCACACTCAGTTTTAGTTTTAACACAGTGCTAGGGATGGGACCCAGGGTTCCACACCTGCTAAGCAAAGGCTCTGCCCACTAAGGCCAGCCCCAGATACTAGCTGTTGGGTTTTTGTCGTTACTTTGTTTTTGCTTTGGTTTTTCTTCTTTTTTGGTTTTTCCAGACAGGGTTTCTCTGTGGCTTTGGAGTCTGTCCTGGAACTTGCTCTTGTAGACCAGGCTGGTCTCAAACTCACAGAGATCCACCTGCCTCTGCCTCCCAAATGCTGGGATTTAAGGTGTGCACCATCAACGCCCAGCTGTTTGTTTTTTTTCTGACAGGGTCTCATTATGCAGCCCTGGTTGTCCTGGAACTCCCTGTGTAGACCAGGCTGACCTCACACTCACAGAGATCCTCTGCCTCTGCCTCTGGAGTGCTGGAATCAAAGGCATGTGCCACTGCCCAGCTTTAATAGTGGTTTGGTAATAAGAGTTTTGGTAAAACCAAAACAGAGTAGGGTATAGCATATAGTTTTTTGGTGACAGACAGATTTGAGCAGAGATCTGAAGGATAAGAAGACATTGCCTGAACAGGGAAAAAAGAAGCCAATGACGGACAGAAAGAACAGAGAGTGCAAAGGCCCTGAGGCAGGGTGGCAGAGTGGACGGTGGGAGAGAGGAAAGAAAGGAAATGAGAGTATCCTGTGGGTAGGGGTGGGTCACATCCCAAATGTGTCCCTAGGGCTGGAGAGATGGCTCAATGGCTAGGAGCACCTGGGTTCAATTCCCAGCACCCACATGGCAGCTAACAACTGTCTGTAACTCCAAGATCTGACACCCTCACACAGACATACATGCAGGCACAACATCAAGGCACTCAAAATAAGAATAAATTATTTTTTTAAATGTGTCCCTAATGCCAGGTGTGGTGGTGCACACTTTTAATCTCAGCACTCCTCTGCTCCTCTGGCCCATGATCTAGCTAGGAGGTCAGAAGCCTCCTATGAGCAGCTGAGCAAGTTCGGAATCTTCCTCTCATTGGAGGACAGCAGGTGCTGCCCGCAAGCAAGGGAGGGCTCCTGTGGGGAGTCCTCAGCCACCTCACTTCACTTCTCAGCCTCTGACTCCTGAGCACACCAGCCCTGGAATTCCCCAGTGCAGAGCAGCCTGGACTTCCCCCAGGGGTGAGGATGAGGAACAGGCTATCTGTGGGGAGGGAATCGGACCTCAAGACTCAGCTTGGTAGGGGCTGGTCCCCCTACTATCTCCCCCGCACATTCTGACTGCCCCATGACAATGGCTGTGACCACTGTTCCCATTGAACAGGCCAGGGTCCCAGGTTCTAAACGAATACGTTTATAGAGGAGTAGTGTGTCTCAAGCGGGTGATCCCAGGCTGAAGGGAGAAGGGCGGGGACCATGAGGATGAGAGTTCAAGTCCAGTCTAGGCTAAGTGCCTCAAAACAGGCAAAAAGGGAAGGGAAGAGAGGGAGAAAGGGGGAGAGAGAGAGGGAGAGAAGGAGAGGGGGGAGAGAGAGGGAGGAAGGGAGAGAGAGATGGAGAGGGAGGGAGGAAGAGAGGGGGAGAAAGGGAGAGAGGGAGAAGGGGAGAGGGAGGGAGGGAAAGGGAGGGAGAGGGAGCGGCAGGCAGGCAGACAGGCAGACAGTGTTCTGCAGCCCATCCGCGGGATTTGAACTACTCGGGGCTGATGGTTTTCAACCCTTCGTTTCCACTCCCACTTCCCGTTAACAGACCCCTAAGAACTATCCTCTGCTCCTCTGGCCCGTGCCTGGGTCCACCTGGGGTCCGGAAACTTGTCCCTAAAAGCGACCCCACCTCGGACTCACCTGGAATCACAACGGCCACCAGGGCGAGGAGCAGGGGTGGCGTGGGCCTGGCGCGGGTGGGAGCCATAGCAAGGCCAGCAGAGCGCAGGGAGCACGAGCACCCACGGGGCAAGGGGCACGGAGCACCGGGCGCGGACGGGACGGGACGCGGGCGGCGCGCAGCGCGTCTGACTTTATAGTTGCCGGCCGGCCGCGGGGGGCCGAGGGGCGGTGCTGGGGGGGCTGCTTTCCCAGAAACCTAGCGCCTTCCCCTCCGGAACGCGGACTTCGGTATTTCCGCAAGGAGATCGTGCCCTGGCCTAGAGGGGTGGCCTGCCTCGCTGGGCACCGTGGCCCAGGAATTTCCAGACTGAAGCAATGGCCAATGGGGGCGGGCTGCGTGCGGGAGAGGGTGGGTGAGTTCAGCAGAGGGCTCAGGACCTCTGGAGTCACGTCACGCCTGCAGGGTAATTGGTTAACCGGTGCCTGGTGCCCTGTGCCCTCGGGACTGCCGTCGCCTCGCGGGGTAGCCTCGAACCCCAGCTCCCACAAGCCTCTTTGCCCCCCACGACACGCCTTAGCCAAGCACAACAATTCCCTGGAATCATTCGGGGCGCCATCCGCTCAGAGGGGCCCCTCTCCCAAGGCTCGCACCCCACCCAGTTGACACCAGAGATTTTTGGAGCAGCGGTCCAAGCAGGCCCGGACAGATCCGGCGTGGGCGAGCCCTGCCAGAGAGGCGTCATGCAGTCCCTTCGTCCCTCCTCCCACCCACGAGTGCTCCCGCCCCCGCGGCCTCGCTTCCCCTTTCTACTCTGACCCCTGGGGCGTCTTGACAGCTCCCCAAGAAGGAAGGAAGAGGTCTGTCTGGCCCTGTGGAGCCCTGCGCCACCCTTTTCCCACCCCCATACCCCCTCCTTTCTGTCTCTCCCTCTTCCCCTCCCATCTCACCCCCACTCCTTCTCTTTTCTGGAGACTGGGTATCAAGTAGCCCAGGCTGGCCTCAAACATTGTGTAGCTAGGGATGACCTTGAACTCCAGATCCTGCCTCGTGCTTCACCAGGCTTGGTTATTTTAACCTTTGCTTTCTTCAGGGAAACTGAGGCAGACCCTGAACTCCAAGGTCGGGCGGAGAGAGATCTCGAACACCGATCTTCTGACCCAGGGGGTTTGGCACCCGAGGCTTCCTGTTGTGGGACGCCCGCACTGTTGCCGTGGAGACCGGTGCTGGGCCAGGAGGTCGTGCTGCAGATGCGGAAGGGAGAGGTTGAGAAGCCTTCTCTCTTCCTCCGGTAGCAGCAGCTCCTGGGACACTCCACAACCCACGCCCCCAGCCTGGACATTCCTAAGGAATTTCCACGGGGATCTTTTGATCTTGGGGGGTCGGGGAGGAGACAATCAGTCCCTGCCCCGGGACGACTTTGGCAGAGTTGCAGGGTGACCACAGGAGGGTCTGGGAAAACCCTCGGAGTGGATCTTTTTAGGGTGTCACTGAGTCTTTTGGTCCCTACTTCATGTGTGGGGAGCCTCCAGCGCCCTAAGTTCCCATTTGCAGCCCTAAGAGCAAAGTTGTTTAAGTGGGTGCCTACTTTGTGCAGGGCACCATCGTTCCCAGAGCTGAATATTGGAAAATCCTGCTGGGATGCTCAGCTGAGCAGTGACACGCAAAACACAACTCTACTGCCACAGAAAAGCTCGGCAGCCTGTGAGAGCGGTACTCAGGAAGTGGGGGTCAGCCTGGGCTACACAGCGAGTGCACGCCAGCCCCACACCAGATGTCTTCAAAAACCATCAAGGAGGCTGAGAGATGGTTTATCAGTTAAAAGCAAGTGCTCTGGTTCAATTCCCATCACCCATATGGCAGCTCACAGCAATCTGTAACTCAAGTACTAGGGATCCACCTGAAGTTCTTTATCTTTTGGCCTCCCTGGGCACCACAGACACACACACACACACACACACACACACACACACACACACACACACTCGAGATACCTTAGCAGTTGATGATCCAAGTTCAGTTACCAGCACCATGTCAAGCAGCAAGCATACATGTGGTACACATGCAGGCAAAGCAATCACATATAAAATAAATTTAACAAAATAATTTAAAAATAATCTTTCTGAGGCTGTAGCTAGTTAGTAGGGTACCTGGTTTTTTTTTTGGGGGGGGAGGGTTGGTTTTTTGAGACAGGGTTTCTCAACAGCATAGAGTGCCTGTTTAACAAGCACAAAGCCCTGGCCAAGTGTGGAGGCACAGACCTTTAGTCCCAGAGGCAGGGAGGCCAGTCTGGTCTATGGAGCTAGTTCCAGGACAGCCAGGGCTACACAAAGAAACCATGTTTCAAAACACACACACACACACACACACACACAAAAAAAAAAAAAAAAAAAAAAAAAAAAAAAAAAAAAAAACAGAAAGAAAGAAAAAGAAAAACAAAAATAAATAAACAAGCACAAAGCCCACATGGAGGACGGAGGATCAGGAATTCAGGGTTATCCTCTGCTACATGTTGAAGGCCAGCCTGGGCTACACGTAGGAGCCGCCCAGATTTAAAAAAGAAAAAGAAAAGTGGAGTATTATTTTGTGACGAGTGGTAAAGTGGAAAGCTAAAGCCAGGGATAGTTTTTGATGGTTAAAAAGAATTGGTGTGGTGACCAAACATTAGCAGGGTGGAGAGACCACCCAGTGGTCAGGAGCACTTGCTTCTCTTCCAGAGGAACTAGGTTTGGCTCCCAGTACTTTTGGAGGCTCACAATTGCTTGTAATCCAAGCTCCAGCAGATCCCATGCTGTCTTCTGGCTTCCACAGACACCTACATGCATGTGGCACACACACAAAGTTTTTTTATTTTATTTTTTTAAAAATTTATTTATCATGTATACAGTGCATGCCAGAAGAGGGCACCAGATCACATTACATACAGATGGTTGTGAGCCACCATGTGGGTGCTGGGAATTGAACTCAGAATCTCTGGAAGAACAGTCAGTGCTCTTAACTCCTGAGCCATCTCTCCAGTCCCACACAAAGTTGTTTTGTTTTTGTTTTTGTTTTTTAATTAAAAGAGGGCCTGGAAAGATGGAGAGAGAAGACTCGGTGGTTAAGAGCACTGACTGCTCTTCCAGAGTTCTTGAGTTCAATTCCCTGCATGGTGAACATGGTGGTTCACAACTATTTACAGTGTGGTCTGATGCCCTCTTCTGGCAAGCAGATGCAATGCATACAGAGCACTCATTTTGAAAAAAAAAACAAAGAAAAAGAAAGCTGGGGGTTGGTGGTGCATGCTTTTACTCCCAGCACTCAGGAGGCAGAGGCAGGCAGATTTCTATGACTTCAAGGCCAGCCTGATCTACCAAGTGAGTTCCAGGACAGCCAAGGCTACACAGAGAAAACCTGTCTCAAAAAAAAAAAAAAAAAAAAAAGGCTAACCTGGTATATATGAGACCCTGCTTGGGTAGTCCACTGGACATCTCTTAGACTTGGATCCATTCCCAGGCTAGACCCACCGGACTTGTTAAGGCTTGCGTTCAGGTCTGAGATCCTGGGCGGGCCATTTGCTGAGGTGGGAATGGGAAAGTGAGAGGTAGGCAACAGGCACTCAGTGCAGCATGTTCCAGAATTACATTCCTTTGCAGTTCTCCTCCCCTGCCTGTGCTCAGTCTGCAGGAAGGGCATGGCTTCCTCCCTGGTACCAAATGGTCTTACACAAACTAAAGAATGTTCTGAAGCTTCCAGCCTCATTTGCTGTGAGTTCTGGTGGGGACAACTTGCAGCTCCCTCAGCCTGCCCTGCTTTCCCTCTCGTCCCAACATGGGCTTGTCCTCCTTTCAGGAGCCCGAACAGCCTCTGTTTTTATTTCTTTACTTTGAGATATGCTCTTGGTCTCTGTATCCAGGCTGGCCTGGAACTCCCTAGCTTCTGCTCCAGTACACACAAGCTGGGATTGCAGGCATGTGCCACCACACCCTACTAACATTTCCCTTAGCTGTAGGTTGTAGATGAGCACTCTACCAGCTGAGCCACATGCCCAGCCCTGGTGTTTTGGTTTTTGAGACAAAGTCTCATGTAGCTCAGACTAGACTCAGTCTTACTATGTAGCCCAGGGTGACCTTAAACTCCTGGTCCTCCTGCCTCAACTTCCCAAGTGCATTCACCTTGCCTGGCTATGTCCTAATGACTTGAAAGTACATTCCAGATACACTATCACTTTCTTAGGATGCCTTTTGCCCTTGGAGCTGTCGGAGGATCAGTGTGGAGGGACAGGTTCTGGCTTTTTTAAAGATTTATTTATTATGTATATAGTGTTCTGCCTGCATGTATGCTCTGCACACCAGAAGAGACACCAGATCTCCTTAGAGATGGCTGTGATCCACCATGTGGTTGCTGGGAATTGAACTCAGGACCTCTGGAAGAACAGCCTGTACTCTTAACCGCTGAGACATCTCTCCAGCCCTCTGGCTTTTTTTTTTTTTTTTTTTAACCCAGTGGGTGTTGGTGGTCTTACTGCTTCCTTAAAGTTCTGATGTTGGTTGGAACTGCATGTATGTCTAGGTACAACTGTCCCCTTAGGATGGAGCTCCCCAACTCCATGCCTCTAGCTGCACAAGAGGAACAAGAGGAACAGAAACATGTAGTAGTGGCCAGCACACACTGGGCGAACGTCAGCACACCTATAACTTATTCCAGTGGCTTGTTCAATAGGACCTGGGGGGCGGGTTATTGCTGTTGTTTGAGACAGGGTTTCTCTGTGTAACAGCTCTGGCTGTCCTGGAACTTGCTTTGTAGACCAGGCTGACCTTTGTAGACCAGGCTGTCTCTGCTTCCCAAGTGTTAGGATTAAAGGCATGCACCACCACTGCCCGGAAAATTTTTGTGTTTTGTAACCTGGCTGACCTGGAACTCACTTGTAAATCAGATTGGTCTTGAACTCAGAGATTTGCATACCTCTGACTCCTGAGTGCTAGGATTAAGGATGTGTTTACCTTTTTTGTTTTGTTTCTGAGCAGAGGAAACATAGGTTTATTACGGAATAATGAGAAAGAACCCCCAAGGGTGAGAAGGAGTCCACGATAGGAACACTCTTGTTCAGTGTTTGGGTTTTTGTTTTGTTTTTCCTGTTTCAAGCCAGGGCTTCTCTATGTCTTGGAACTCACTGCCTCTGCCTCTTGAGTGTTGGGATTTAAGGTCACTACCCAGCATTGTTTTTGAAATAGGGTCTGTGGCAGCTCAGGCTGGCTTCAAGCTATGTAGCCAAGGGTGACTTTCCCAACCTTCCCTTCTGCTTCTGCCTCAACTACTGGAACGACAGGTGTATACCACCATGCCTACCTGGCCTTACTATGTAGCTCAGGCTATCCTTAAGATTGCGGGCAGTGTTGGTGCATGCCTTTAATCCCAGCACTCGGGAGGTAGAGGCAGGCAGATCTCTGTGAGTTTGAGGCCAGCCTGGTCTACAAGAGCTAGTTCCAGGACAAGCTCCAAAGCCGCACATCCCAGGGTTATTTTCAGCCAGAAGAGGGCTGGTAGCCACAGGGTGTGACTGAGGCTGTCTGGCTGTACATACACCAACAGAAAGCAGTCCTAGTCAACATTGGTCCAAGTACTGAGTGTTCTTTATGGAGCCCCACCCACTCTTATTTTTCCTTTTAAAATATTTTTTATGTGCATTGGTGTTTTTGCCTTTATGTCTGTCTGTGTGAGGGCGTTTGGTGCCCTGCAACTGGAGTTAGACAGTTGTGAGCTGCCATGTGGGTGCTAGGAATTGAACCTAGGTCCTCTGGAATAGCAGCCAGTACTCTTTAACCACTGAACTACCTCTCCAGCCCTCACTTTTCCTTTATAAACCTCTGTTCTTTGCTAAAAATAAGTAACAAACAAACCAGACAGTTATGTGTGTGTGTGCCAGGAGTCTTTGTACTTGGGAGATACAGTTCCTCCCTGGACACCCTAGGAGGGGGGTTCAGGGTTAGAGTGCCTTGACAAGAGACCCTGGACTCTATGCCCAATATCACAGGAAAAAAAATGTTTTTCTTTCAAGCCCCCCCCTCCTTTTGTTTTCCTGTGTCATTTTTGGAGCTTGTCCTGGAACTAGCTCTGTTATCAGGCTGGCCTCAAACTTTGGAGACACCTGCTTGCCTCTGCCCCCCAAGTGCTTAAAAGTGTGTGCCACCATTACCTGGCTTAATTTTTCTCATTTTATGTACTCATGCCTGAGCACCATGTTTGTGCCTGGTGCCAACAGAGGCCAAATGAGGGTGTCTGGCTCTTCTAGAACTGAAGTTGAAGACAGCCATGAGCTGCTGTTAGGTGCTGGGACTCCAACTGTGGTCTTCTGGAGAGTAGCCAGCGCTCTTTACTGCCAAGCCATCTCTCCAGTTCATATTTTTGCTGTTGATTTGTTTCTTAACTGAGAATATAGCCAGGTGGTGGCACACAAGCACTTGGGAGGCAGAGGCAGGGAGATCTCTCCGAGTTTGAAGCCAGTCTGGTCTACAAAGTGACTTCTAGGACAGCCAGGGCTGTTACACAGAGAAACCATGTCTCAGGGAAGATAAATAAATAAATAAATAAATAAATAAATAAATAAAAGCAAAGCTGAGAATACTGGCATGATGTCTTTCAACAAATTTGTTTTATTACAAAAACACAAGATTGTTTGATTCTGGGCCTGAAGAAAGATGTTAGAGTAAGCTTGCATGTCACACAGGTGGCAGACCCTTCCAGAGGGAATACAGGTTGCTGGCTTGGCACCTATGCACACTCCAGCATCTGCCTCAGCAGGAAGAAGGTCCTCTTGGCAACTGGTATTGGCAGCCCCAAGGCTGTCATCAAAGCAGGTTTGAGGCCTGGAGAAGAGGCACCTAGGATCCCCAGCACTAGATGAACAGCCCAAGAGCTGATAGAATCCCATACTCAACGACCAGCTCCATTTTCAAGTCTTGTGAAAAATAGGCTTTATTTTTTTAATGTGACAGGCAGGCAGCCATCTTGGCTCTGTGCAGTTATCCCCTCCTGGCACCAAGGCCCAGCAGCTTCCAGGGAATAGCTTTTTTACAGGAAGGCTGGTATGCTGACTTGGCCCCCAAGTGGGGTGTGCTTCTAGGTGACCAGGGCAGGGTCAGGGGAAGTCATTGTAGGGAAAGCGGAAGGGGTAGAGTGGAGTGTATCTCGAATCCTGCCAGAGTAGCTTGTCCTCCAAGAAGGCGATGGAAGGCAGGGTGAGAACCAGAGTCTGGTGTTTGAGCATGCTGTACACATTCAGGCCTGGGATGTGAGGACATGGTCAGGGTGGGGCTGCCCTCTTCTAGTTCAGGCCAAATCCATGGTATCTGAAGCCTGACCCTTGCCCTCCTCTGAGGTATACTGCTAGTTTTTAGATCCCACATCAACTGCTGAGGAACTACCTGTCTCCACATCTGCCCAGTATGTGACTTTGACCCCCATGAGGAAGACCCCAGGAAGTGATTAAACACACAGTAAGTATCACTGGGAGATCAGAAACAGTGGAAGTTGTTGAGAGGGGAGGACAGACCAGCTTTCACCCAGGTGCTCATGCCTGCCCCCTGCAGGCTACATGTGGAAGAGACTTTAACAGATGTGATCCCAGTGCTTCTTTCAGCTGGGGCAGCTGAAGGCTGGAGGGGTGGCTCTGGGCAGAGCACATGCCTAGCACAGGAGGCTCTGGGCTCTGGCTGCCACCTCAGCACAACTAAATGGTGAATTCTTAGACACGTCATTCAGTCATAGTATGACTGGTACAGGGTTTGAAATGCACAACGGGACTTGTGCTAGTTTGCCCTTCACTTACCAACTGCAGGGATCAGGTTGAAGCTCTTGAGCCTGGAGGTGGCTGCCACAACATTCTTGGGCGCTTCCTCATGTGTCCTGGAACAGATGGAGGCTGAGTGAGCCTGACAGGATACAGGAGACTTGGCCCCCACTTCCCCACCCTGCCCCATGCCCTCACAAGTCTACAAGGAGCACAGAACTCCCCCAGTGTCGGTACTGGGCCAGTTCTGTCAGGTACTGAGGGTCTGCAGTGGGCAGCTCCAGGGAATCCACGATGTGTAGGTCATCCTGTGGAGAAAAACAGGATTTGGGGGTCTGTATTTGGACCCCCAGGCACCAGCTGTTTTCCCTCCCAGCTACACTATACCATACCTGCATCAGCTTGACAGTCAAGGCCGCTTTGAGGCCCAGTGCCCGTACTTTCATGGGCAACATGTAGTAGTAACTTGTAGGACCCCGGGGACCATGGGCTACTCCTCCTGCAGGGACAGTGGTGTGTGAACAGGTGCTGGACACTGCTGAGCTGGGAGGTCAGAGATTAGCCTGATGCCTGAGACAAAGTGGTGGAGCTGGTGATGAACAGTAGCTGGAGGAGCTGGGAGAGGCCAGAGATCTCACTAGGAACCATGGGAAGAGTGGGAAGACTGGACAAGTGGTGGGGAGATGGCCTGTGGACATGCAGGTACAGTCATAGGCATCTAACTCTAGTACAAGAAACTGAAGTAAGAGTTCAAGACCAGCTTGGGATATACAGCAAGACACAATCTCGAAGAAAATAAATGATGAAGTTATCAAAGAGAAGATGAGGGCCAGGGCTGTGGTTCAGTTGGGAATGCTTGCCTAGTGTACACAGAACCTTGGGTCCCACCTCCAACACAGCATCAATAGGCTTGGTGGTGCAAGGTTCCCAATCTCTGTCCCTCACTGGTCAGCATGCTTGAGTGCCAGTGCCACCCAGCCCAGTGGGCTAATAAGCGGGGGACTCGGGTGTCCCTTATTGTGGCAATTGTGGGCACCTGCATGGAAAGGGTCATCTGGGACTCCCTCCCAACTGGGCCCCACTCACCTCCCCGCCATAAGGGGGACCGGATGCTGCCATGCCGGGCACGGCCACTGCCTTTCTGTTGCCAGGGCTTGCGGCCACCACCACTCACCTCAGCCCTGGTCTTGGTTTTAGCATAGCTCTGTGAGTACAAAGAGAGTGGGGGTGGGGTTCAGACAAATGCCAGTGAAGACTGTCTTAGGGAGGGAATGAGAGAGTAAAGGGCCCAGAGTCCCTCCCTTGTGAGGTAGGGCCCTGCTGCCCAGTTCACAGGAGCACCTGCCACTTCTGCGTACGAGCCTGCTGGACTGAGACCAAGGCCTCCCTGTATAGCCCAGGCTGACTCAGAATTTTCAATTTCCCCTCCTCAGCCTCTGCAGTGCTGCAGTTACAGGCATGAGCCATCACACCTGGCTCCCCTGTTGACTCCTCAATGTTCTTGGCACAAAACTCTTTGCTCTCATTGACTAAATGGTAATAGTAGGCCCTGTGTGGTCCTTTCCACAGAGTATTCATACATGCCTTCCCCATCAACCTCCACTCTAGCTGTACTCCCTGTCAGCTAGTTAGGTTAGACTACAGGTAGAGTAAGTTAAATGTCCCTTTATAGATGGAACATGGCTCAACAGTAGAGCACCTATCTAGAATCTCTAATGGGCTGGTGACATGGCTCAATAGCAGAAATTCCCAAGCATGTGTAAGTGTGTGTGTGTGTGTGTGTGTGTGTGTGTGTGTGTGTGTGTGTATTATATATAGAGCAACTGCCCAGCCGCTGAGGCTCTAGGCTCATTACCCTGAACACAGCACTAAGTACCTCTCTCTGAGAGATGATGTGTGCCCAGTCTACCTACTGATTTTTGTTCACTTCTCCCACTAGATTGAGTCCTCAGGACAGGGATCTGCTGACTTGTAAATCCTCTAACATAATACCCACCATGATGAGTGCTGAGATAGGATCTGAGAAGTGACCCTGCCTTTGCATGTACAGGTATACAAGGCCTGAACTGGGCTCTTTCCAGAGCACACTTACAGGCCTCTGAGCCCAGTGGGAAGCTCTGCCATGCTACTCAGGACACTCACAATTCTCTTGAAGTTCTTCTGCCAGGTGGCAACCTGGTGCAGAATGTCCAGCCTGGAAAGAGGGAAGAGAAACCTAAGAGGGACACCCACCCAACTTAAACTCTCCCTCACCTGCATCCCAGTAAAGGAGGCCTGGCTCTCCCATGGATATTCAGGGCCCTATGTCCTCTCTTCCTTGACTACAGCTGACACCTCAACTCAAGCTAGTCTATGCCTGACCTCCTGGTACTCAAGAGGTTAAGGCAAGAGGATGGAAATTTAAAGGCCTGGCTGTGCTTCACGGTAAGAATCTGTCTCTGAAAACCAGAGTGGAGTCGAACATCAGAACCTCTGTACCTGCTCTCTAACTGAAATATTCTTGTCTTGACTGGATCCAGTAGGTTCCAGAGGTGTGTGTATGTGAGGGGAGGGAGGTTGCAGAGATGGCTCAGTGGTTAAGAGTACTTCTGCTTTGGTGGAGGGGCCAGGTCCAATTCCCAGCACCCAAAATAGCTCACAGCTAGTTTTGCTTTGGTGGAGGGGCCAGGTCCAATTCCCAGCACCCAAAATAGCTCACAGCTAGTTTTAACTCCAGTCCTGACCCCTTCCTTCTTTGGGCCTCTGAGAGCACTGCACACAGGTGTACATACACATTCAGAAAAACACTTTACACATAAAATAAAAATCTCTGTGTAGCCCTGGTTGCCCTGGAACTCATTCTACAGACCAGGCTGGCCTCAAACTCATAGACAGCCACCTCATAGACTGCCTCCCCAGTGCTGGGATTAAAGGTGTGTGACACCACAGCCCAGATAAGTCTGGCCTTCTTATCAGTCACTTTTGAAAACGTTAATTCACGATAGTTAATATTTTTACTTTCGCTTATGGTGCCATATAGCCCAGGCTGGCCTGGAACTCACTTTGCAACCTTGACCATTAATTTCCACCTACACAGTGTTGGATTTAGAGGTGTGTGTTCCTAGGACCATGTGTGCAATAGTGGAAGGGAACTAACTCAGGGCCTCACGCACACAAGGCAAGCCCTCCAATCGTGCACATCCACTGCTCTAATAATCAACGTTTCTAGAAAATGTCCTATGTGCCAGAGTAATCTACCTACTTTTCGCCCAACTTCCTGGGGTCTGCTAAAAGGGGGACGAGAGTAAGTAAGGATGTAACAGCCCGGGGTGGCTGTAGTACCCCCGTTCTACGGCACTGCAGCCTGCACTCACCGGGGCGCCGTGGCAAACACATCAGGGTGCAGCTCCGCTAGGCCGACGCGCTCCTGCTCGAAGCCTCGCAGTGACTCGACCCAGGCGTGCACCGGGCGCCGGTGCGCCGGGATTCGGAGCTCGCACTTGCGCACCACGGGATCTAGGAGACCTGGGAGTCGGGGAATGAGTGAACAAGGGTCAGGAACAAAGATCAACGCTCCCGGCGCATCCTCTCCAGCTCTGTGTCTTCAAGGTGCGATCCCCGCCGCCTCACCCGCGGTAGCCCCCGGCTGCGAGCTCTCGGCCGGCCGCGCCGCGCCTTCCGCCAGCGAGCTGAGGACCTGGAAAACGATGGACGTGTGGTTAGGGGTGCTCCCTGAGAGTTCCCAACCTCTGACCTCCGCCCTTGGCCTCAGCTCCGTGCCCTACCCGGGAGCCGGGGGGTCGAACCCAGGCCTGAGAAGCGGCCCGGAACAACCGCAGCATTGCGGGTCACGTCTCCCAGCCGAGAGCCCAAGCCCCTTAGACACTCGCGGCGAGTGCTGATGACGTCGACGGAGACGCAACGTCACCGATGCGACTCCGCGGCCCTCAGCTCCAGAACGCGCAATCTTGCTGATGCGCGCGAGCACCGCTGACAGCGAGAAGCCCCGCCCCAAGGAGCCCCGGAAGCTAACCAATGAGGTTGCTCGGCCCCATAGACGCGCTCTTGCTTCAGCCAATGAACTCAAGGATAGGTTGGGGGCGGGGCGGCAGCCCATATGTGTGCGCTACCTGATCAATAAGCGTTCTTCTCTTTTTCAGTGTTAGGCTTTGGATGAGCCTCCTGCCACACGCTTCTTGTTTTGACTACAACTTTTTCTGCGTCAAACTTTCCCCCCTCTTACCCTTATTGATATGAATTGGTGTTTGTCTCACTCCTGACTAGCTTGGAACTCACTATGTAGCCCAGGGAGGCCTCAAACTCAGAAATCCACCTGATTTTGCTTCCTAAATGCTGAGACGTGTGCCAGAGTGGGTGCAGTGGTGCACGCCTTTAAACCAAGCACTCAGGAGGAAAAGGCAGGCGGATCTCTTGTGAGTTCGAGGCCAGCCTCGTCTATGTAGTGAATTCCAGAACAGTCAGTGAAATTCTGTCTGGGAAAAAAAAAAAAAAAAAAAAAAAAAAGGTGTGTGAACAACATCTGGCTTCTATTCTTTGCTTTTTCAATATATGTGTATTTTAATTTTTTAAATTTATTTTTGTGTATGTGTGTGTAGATCAGGATAACTCAAGGGAATTGGAGCTTTCCTTCCACCTGGTGGCTCAAACTCAGGTCCCTCAGGTTGCCAGTGGCACACAGCACTGTGCTCACATGTTCAGTGGAACCTGCCTTTATGCTTTCCCCTTTTGGTGTGTGATGGGGTCTGATGTAGCCCAGGCCCACCTTGAACTCTATGCAGTCAAGGATAACCTTGACCTGATTCTCTTGCCTCCACCTCCAGAGTCTCTCCTCTTTCTAAACCTGAAGACTCACAGCGGAAAGCTTTCAGTATTTCCTTTTTAAAAGTTAATCTTTATTCCAGCTGGTTGTGGCAAACACTTTTAATCCCAGTACTTGGGAGGCAGAGACAGACAGATTTATGTGAGTTCGAGGCCAGCCTGGTCTACAGAGCAAGTGCCAGGACAGACTCCAAAGCCACACAGAGAAACCCTGTCTAGAAAAACAAAAAACAAAAAAAATTACTAATCTTTATTTTATGTATATGATTGTTTTGCTTGCAGGTAAGTTATGTTTGGTTGTTGCCTTTGAAGTCTAGAAGAGGGTATCAGATGGCCTGGATCTGGAGCTATGATACAGACATCATTGGCCATGTGGGTTGTGGGAACTGAACTCAGGACCTCTGAAAGAGCAGCAGTGTTCTTAACCACTGAGCCACCCCTTCTGCCCACTTTCACTATTTCTTAGGCCTACTTAGACTTTCCAGGGCTGGCTATGACCCTCTGGAATCCCTCCCATCAATTCTTTGCGCCCGCCCCCTCACATCTAATCCAGGATCCTAGCCCCCTCTTAAACCTTCAGGACTCTCCCAGGACAGAAAAAAAGTCACAGGATAAAGAGATTTGGATCACTTCACTAAGATCCTTGCCAAACAATAAATGATCAAGTTTATGGTATTGTCTCTGTTCCACACTTGACCTTCAGAGGGCGCTGAGAGCTCACACATGACTCACTGCCACCCACTCTGAGGTCGGGACAGAACTGAGACTGAACTAGTGGTCTCTGTGCCAACCACCTTTTCATCACCCAGATAATGGGGAAATAGTAATATGTTAGTGAAATGAGGGGTACAAAGGGTGAGATTCCTGACAGGAGATGAGAACGCAGTAACCATCATCAGTGATTCTTATACTGAGGATCCTTGTGATCAGAGAGACAAGAAAAGACCAAGGCAGGTGGATCTCTGTGAGTTCAGGCCACCTTGGTCTGCATATAGAGTTCTAGGCCAGTCACGGCTATACAGTGAGATTCTGTCTCAAACACCACAAAACAAAGCCCCCAAACCTGACCACAAACAACCAAAGTCAAAATAAAAGAAAACAAACAAACAAAAAGCCAACAAGAGCCATGATACACTGGTGGAGCAGACTCTGGGGAATTTAATTATTGAGCTAAATATGTGGAGGTTTATTATTGTTCTTTATCTACTACTAATTTATTTGTTTTGAGACTGGTCTCATGTAGCCCAAGCTAGCCGGGAACTCACTATATAGCTGAGAATGACTGTGAACTGATCATGCTGCTTCCACCTCCCCAGTGCTGGGATGACTGTCTTGTTTACATGGTGCTGAGGCTGGACCTAGGGTCCCCTGCTGGTTAGGCAAGCACCCTACCCAGACCCAGCCTCATTGATGTATTAATTTTTATCGTTAAGATTTGTTTGTTTGGTTGGTTTGGTTTTTTGGACAGGGTTTCTTTATAACTATTTATTTATTTATTTATTTATTTATTTATTTATTTATTTGGGTTTGGGGCACACATGTGGGTGTGGAGGTCAAAAGACAACTGTGGGAACTGGTTCTCTCCCTCTATCGTGGGGGTCCTAGGTCTTGAGAACATTGCCACTGCACCTGGCTTTTATACTAGTGTATACTAGTGTTGGGAATCTGAACTCAGGTCCTTCATGCTTGCACAGCAAACACTTTACTACCTGAGCCATATCTCTATATATATATATATATATATATATATATATATTTATTATGTATAGTGTTCTGCCTGCATGTATGCCTGCTGCCAGAAGAGGGCACCAGACTCATTATAGATGGTTGTGAGCCACCATGTGGTTTGGGAATTGAACTCAGAACGGCTGGAAGAGCAGCCAGTGCTCTTAACTGCTTAGCTAACTCTGCAGCCCCTCCCCTGTCCTTTTTAATGTTTAGTTTAAGACAGAGTTTTGAAAGTTTCCCAGATGCTCCTATATCACCCTCTGGCATAACTGAGATTATAGGCCTGTACCACCATACCCTATGCCCACATTTTCTTTATTCATTCATCTGTCAAAGGGTACCTCCTCTGTTGACTTCACATACTGGCTGCAATAAAGAAACTTGAGGAAACCACTCAGCTGGCACAGTGCTTGTAGCTTAGTTGGTAGAGTACTTGTGGTTCAGTTGATGAGTGCTTATAACTTAGTTGGCCCAGTACTGATAGTTCTTTTGACATGGTGCTTATAGCTCATTGGCACGGTGCTTATAGTTCATTGCTAGAGCAGTGCCTACCTGAGCATACATACCTAGAGAGCATACAGGAAGGCTCTGGGTTCAATGCCCAGTACCACATAAAGTGGGTGAGATATAAACCTTTTAATTCCATAGGTAAAAGCAAGACGACAAGCCTTGGCTACACAGTGAATTCCAGGCCAGGCTTAGATATATAAGACCCTGTTCCCCAGTCCCCAGAAGAAGACAGAAAAAAAAAAAAAAAAAAAAAAAAAAAAAAAAAAAAAAAAAGAGGACACTAACAAATGGTTCAGTGGGTAAAAGCACTCGCTATACTTGTCAGTATTCAGGCATCTGTACTAGCCTGCCCTTGGGATCCTGACAGGATATGCCCTCAGCTGCAGCCACTAAGAGCACCTCCTATACACATTCACTACATTCCCTTATAAAAGGTGGGCCTTGACCACCTCCTGTCTCTTTCTTTCTCTCTTTTTCTCTCCTCTTCCTTTCTCTTTCTATTCTGCCACTCTTGTCCCCAGGGATGGGTCTTTGCTCCCCCCCTTTCCTCCCACTCTGCCCCTCTCTTTGCTTCCTTCTCTGCCCCTTCTCTCTCCTCCTATGTGACATTTGTTGCATGGTGTGACTTACTTTCGAGGAGCTTTTTAAATTACAACAATACCAGCCCAACAACCCAAGTTCGGTCATCAGAAGCCACATAAAGGTGGAAGGAGAAAACTATCCTTACAAAGCTGTCTTCTGATTCCTTTAATATGTGCATCCCTCCCCCACATCACACACACATATAATAATGATAAATTCATTTTAGAATGAGGAATACAGCTAAATAGACATTAACGTTCAGAGATCTCCTTGACACAGCGAGAATTTTTCGTTGCTCATGTACCCAGTATGGGATAGCAGAGTCATATGTTAATGCTATTTTTAGTGTTTTGAGGAACCTTCCTTCTGTTTTCCATAGAAGCCCTGCTCATTTGCATTTTCCCCACTGGTGAGTTCCCCTTTCTCTGCATCCTCAGCAGGTCCCTTGATCTCTGGTCTCTTCTCCTATGGTCCAGCTATCTGAGGATCGATGCCTTCCGCTTGTGGTTTTGATTTACACCTGATTACTGACAGGGAGCACGCTTTCATATATTTTTGCTGGCTTACCTTGTGGTTTATTTCGTTTTATGTATTTTTAGTTTCTTTTCTTTCCCTTTTCTTTTCTTCCTATGTAGATCAGGCTGGTCTTAAACTTACGAGACTTGTCTGCCTCTGCCTCTTACGTGCTAGGATTGAAGGTGTATCTCACCATACTTAGCTATTTTTATTTTTTAATTATGCGTGTATGTGTGCTTCTTTATATACATGAGTGCAGGGGGTACAGAGGACAAAAGAGGGTGAAGGATCTCCTGGAATTGGAGGTACAAGTGGTTTCCAGTCACCTGATGTGTGTGCTAGGAACCAAACTTGTATCCCACAAACTCTGGAAGAGCAGTAGTCACTCTTATTCCCTGAGCCATCTCTTCAGCCCCAATATTTTGTGATTTAAAGGTTCTTTAAGGGTCTGGAGAGAGATGACTCAGCTTTTAAGAGCACTGGCTGCTCTCCCAGAGGACCAGGTTCAGTTCCCAGCACCCACATGGTGGTGCACAGCAATCTGTAACTCCGGTTCCATGGGCTCATGTCCTCTTCTGAGACCCATAGGGACCTTAGGAATGTAGTTGCGCAGACATGCATGCAGGCAAAACACTCATGTATATGAAAGAAATAAATCTAAAACTTTGTTGTTGTCAGTTTTTTTCAAGATGAAGTTTTTCGTTGCAGTCCTGCCCGTCTTGGAACTCGATCTGTAGACCAGACTGGCTTCAAACTCAGAGATCTG